ACTCATTATTTTACAGCAGTGTGCACTTCACCGACAGCCATGCTTTTACAGTTTTTTTCCAACTGCTTACACACAAAATCTTTCTTGTCACACGATTTCTTAAACATCTCACTCAAAATGCAAAACTACACAAAAAAACTCCAAAACTCTTTTTTCAAAACTCTACACACAAATCTCTACCTAAACTCTGCCACAAAACTCTAACGGAAAGCCACTTGCTTTGTCTCTTCCAAACACAACCAATCAAAATTCTACACTTATCGACCGGTTCACACACACTCACTCCTCACATGCGCAAACGCTAATTTCATAACTGATCACTAACCAATCACTGCTTTACTCTATTATAGGCCAAAGGTGATTTGACACCGGGCTGTAACGGTCCAATAAAAACTGGTTTGCCACCCATTCACAATTTGTGGTTATGTACCTAGCGCATATTCACCTTTTATAAATCATAAAATTCCTATCAAAAAATGGAGAAATTCCTTTGAGCCCAGTGCTGTAAAGTGTTTGATGGGCAACCCTATGCCTGCATGATGCTTCTCTATGAAATGAATTATGCCTGCTATGTGTGCAGTTTTGGGAATTGTATGTTGAGTTTTGAAAAAGGGGACACTGTTTTGAAAACGTGTGAAAGCAGTTGGAAAAACCTGTAAGATTTTATGTCGTCATTTGTGGCCCGGTCCCGGGAACAGCAGTCTCAGGAGAGAACTCCAGACTTTACTCTCCCCAGACACTTCCTCTAGCTCCTATGGGGGGTCCTGATGCATTCTTAGGCCAGCCAAGAAACAAAAGCTGCGTCCCAAATCGCATACTTATGCACTATTCTACGCCATTTTGTAGTATAAATAGTGTAAGTAGTGCGTTCACACTGAAAACTCTAAAAATAATAAGTGCACTTTAATTACCCGGATGATGCACTCATTCAGCCGCTAGAATGAAGTGTGTAATGATGGACACTTCACGCACTCAACGACCGCAGGTTTGCTTACGTAGCGGAAGGGGCGGAGCTATCGGACGCACATGTTGAATAACTTTATTTAATTTGGATTGTGAAAGCAAAATTCTTTTACGAGAGTGATTATAGCGCCTCCCGATAGTGATTGCGGCAATACTCACGGAAGGTATTATTTGATAATTCGGCCGTTTACTTCAATGATTTGGCGACCGTCAAACGTCATTAGGGAAACGGTTTGAATTTCCGCTTAGTAAAAAAACATTAGTGTGCCATTTGGGACGACACTACATACATATACTACCCTGTTGAGTGTGTAAGTGCATAAGTACATAGTGCATGAGTGCATAGTGTATAGTGTGCCATTTGGGACGCAGCTATAGTCCCTCCAGCGTGTCCCAGGTCTTCCCTGAGGCCTCCTCCTGGTGGGATATGCCTGGAACACCTCCCTAGGTAGGCATTCAAAAGGCATCAGAAACTCTACTCCGAGCTTCTCCTTCTCCTGACAGAGCTCCTTACCCTATCTATAAGGGTGCACCTTGCCACCCTGAGAAGGAAACTCATTTTAGCCACTTGTGTTTGAGATCTTGTCCTCTCGGTCATGAACCAAAGCTCATGACCATAAGTGAGAGTAGGAACATGGATTGACCGGTAAATCAAGAGTTTTTGCCTTTTTTGCTCAGCTCCTTCTTTACCACAATGGACCAGTATATTGACCGCATTACTGTTGCCCCTGCACCAGTCCGCCTATCAATCTCACTCGTGAACAAAACCCCAAGATACTTGAACTCCTCCACCTGGGGTAAAGACTTTCCCCCAACCTGGAGATGGCAAACCACCTTTTTTCGGTGGAGCACCATGGCCTCAGACTTGGAGGTGCTGATTCTCATCTCAGCACATCATACTCGGCAACAAACCGCCCAGTGCATGCTGGTCAGGTGGGCTGTTGAACTCCTCCTGCTCGGTGTTGTATGGCTCTGTCGCTGTCCATTCCTCGCCAGTGTCCACTCCAGGTAGGCGGCGAGATTGCTTCGAGGACCAACTTCGGATGAAAGTGCTCTGCAAGCGGTGTTCAGGTTGGAATTGTAAAACCCACAGCGCACATCGTCCATCCAGCTAGAATGTTTTTGTAAGAACAAAAATTGTTCTCTATGGTCTTCTAGGCTGCTTTCCACCGCTTCAGCATAAGGAGAATGAATTCAGGGGTGTAGATAGAGTCCATAGGGTACACGAGGAGAAGGAGAAAAAACACTGGAGCAAAAAGACTATAAAAAAAACGGGGGGGAAAAAAGGCTGCAAACTTTTTTTGTATCTAGTCTGGTATTATGTCATGCCTGGGCTCTCTCAGGAAAGCAAAGGATTGCAAGAGTTATCAAATGTGTAGATTTATTGATAAACACTTACATGGAGGACAAAGGAGACTCAGGAATGACATGGGTTGTTAACAAGCATAACCAAGAGAATACCAGACAAAGGACTGGACAACACACAGGACTATAAATATACATGACTTGATGAATTGATAACACACAGGGGAGGAACACAGGAGAAACCATGAACTTCAAAAAATGGAGGGAAACAGACCAAAGGAGCACATGGGTAAGGTCACATGACGAAAACACAGGAGCCTGACAATAACATTACGTAAACAATTTTGAATGACCACCTAACAGTCATTTTGATTAAATAAAAAGACTTAGCGGGTTTCCACACAAGTTTCTGCATCCTGCTTATATACACTATGAACAGCAGCTACACTAATTATTCTCTTTTTTTTCTCCATTGCTACCTGGGGATACTCATCCCGAGGTCCTCAGATTATGCGGAGTCACTGATTGGATCCAAGACCAGCGACGAAATGATCCCAAGGTTTCCATATCCAGGACCAAGCTGTATCCTGAGCTGCTGCTGTGCTGGTGATCATGGGGGAGTGGAGAGCATGAGACTGATTACAGTGACGCTACAGGGACAGACGAGTCTTCACTGAGGCCAGCTTCTAGCTAGTCTGCAGCTCTGCACAAGACTTTTGGCCAGCTGAGAAATTAAAATGGTTGTGCCCAACTGAGTCTGGTTTCTCTCAAGGTTTTTTTCTTCACTCTCCTATCGGTGAAGTTTTTTTCCCTCTCCGCTGTCGCCTCTGGCTTGCATGGTTCTGGATCAGTAGAGCTACGCATCGATGAATTTGCTCTTCAGTGTTTGGACTCTCAGTAATGATTTAAAGCACACTGAACGGAGTCAAACTGAACTGAACTTAAACACTAAAAACTAAACTACCATGATCCAGTTACTATGACCATTTATGTGAAGCTGCTTTGTCACAATCTACATTGTAAAAGCACTATACAAATAAAGCTGAATTGAATTTAATAAAATGAGTATACACTATTATGTAGCAAATGTTGTCTAAATATAAGCACACTGATGGCTTATTTTGAATTAATTTTACTCCATTTTAACACCATTGAATAATACAATGTTACATCTCAAAGAAAGAAAGGACAAAAAGCATAGCAACAGAGGCAAAAGACAACTTGAATAAAAAAAAGAAAAAGCTGCCCTCACTTACACCGAGTTTCATCATCGACACCCCTCCCAACATCCCTCCAAAAAAACTATTGATCTTTTCTGGAGTCCTGTGCTGTCAGAGCGCTGCATCCAGATAACGCTGCACCTAAGGACTCTTTCAGGGATTGTAATTTCTGCAGAGATGGCATTAGAAACATAAAATAGGAGGAGCACTTCCTCCTCTTACTAAAGACTTTCGTTCGGTTGCATCAACTCTTGCCTGAGCAAGACTTTAGCCAATGAATAGCAGACCAGTAGCGTAGAAATACCAGACAAAGCTTTTATCAGACAAAAGGAGGGCTGTGGGGTTTATACTAGACATAAATGTAAACAACTATACTTTGAAAAGGCATTATAGGATCCCCTTCTGCTTGATGAAGGGCTCTGGCAGGTGCAATTACATCTAGCTCATCATATAAAGGCTGTAAATGAATTAGATTTGCATTGTCATTGCTGATTAGGTCAAAAGTTACATTACACAATCAGTCCAAATTCATGAATTTGTAGCAAAAACTTTATAATATTAAAATAATAATAAAAAAACACTCATGTATGGGTGTTTCCAGATGTTGGGTTGCAGCTGGAAGAGCATTCACGGTATAAAACATATGCTGGATAAGTTGGGGATTCATTCCGCTGTGGCGACCCCTGATTAATAAAGGGACGAAGCCGAAAAGAAAATGAATGAATGAATGAATAAACACTCATATACAATAAATATAAATTATTTATCATCTTTTTATCATGCATATATATATATATATATATATATATATATATATATATATATATATATATATATATATATAAACACACACACAGACAGACAAAACTTATGAGATGTCGAATAACCATCAGTTCAATACAAATCATGCTTATGGCAGTCAAATGTGCTGTAGATGCTTATGTGGTAAATTATTTTTGTGGCCAACAAAAATCTGATCGCTGTTTTATGCATATCATACTGCAAGAAATGTTTATTTTGAAATAATTCAGTAAATATTATCTGAGATCATTCTTACTAAGTGGTTATTAGAGTGAAACTTATATTGGAGAGAATTGAAATGAAAAAACGACAAACCAAACATATTCAAGCATTCAAACAGGTATTTTTAATTCCCGGTAAATGCACAAAACAGCTTCAAATTTCCATCATCAGCACCGTTTTTCGCAAGGAGACACACACACACAAAACATAGACTAAAGAACATGATTATAACAATGACATTTAGGGAATGTATGATGAGCCAGAGACATAATTCGAGCAGCTTTATGGTGAATCAGGATACGTTCAAATTCGAAGCAGTACACTTAATCATGCCTACAGGATCTGAATATCTTTCGCGTAAACCATTCCCTCCGACATTGCCTATATGTCTCAAAGACTAACAGAATAGTAAAATACCATTTTTTCTCAATCAGAAATCAATATAATATTGTCAGAATCACTGCATATTGACAATTAAAAGCGTCCTACCTGGTGTTAAAGCCCACAGCGCCCTTATAATGAAACAGGAGCTTTGTGTCGGCTCTCTCGCTTTCTCGCTCTGTGTGTGTGTGTGTGCGCGCGCGCGCCCCGGTCCACACATTTCTGCACATCCCCCTAGCTGTCACTTTAATGCCTCTAATTCACACAGGGAATCCCCATAGGCTTTGAGTCTGTGATCCCAGTCACGTGTGCTAAGATGTTTATGGCACATCGTGGCAACTCATTTATTGTTGTGAATCAATTTAAATCCTCGTGTGTTTATATAGGCTAGTTGTTTTATATACATTAAGTGAATAAGTCAAGGCGTACATGCACACTCAGCACAACAACGCTCATGCATTCAATGAAACAATCCAGTGGACTCACCAGGATAACAGATGTCTTTCTATATGCGCGTGAATAAAATACAGAATAAGTGTGCTTAAGTAAAACAAGATGTGTAAATGTGTTATTGTTGCTCGCATTCTCTTTCTCTTGTACTGAAATCAGACGTCATATGATGTTTGATCACGTGGCTTCATTCATGAAGGATCTACGAAGCGGCTCATTTAAAGGGGCCGCATATCTATCCATCTATCTATCTATCTATCTATCTATCTATCTATCTATCTATCTATCTATCTATCTATCTATCTATCTATCTATCTATCCATCCATCCATCCATCCATCCATCCATCCATCCATCCATCCATCCATCCATCCATCCATCCATCCATCCATCCATCCATCCATCCATCCATATATATATATATATATATATATATATATATATATATATATATATATATATATATATATATATATATCATTGTATTTTAAAATGATAAACACCTTTTAAACCAATTTCAGCATTATTTATATCATTTATAGCATACATTTTGCCTGAAATTTGCTTTTGAACTTTTAGCTTTTCGAACTTTGTTTGCACAGAAATTGTTGTCATATTTTATTCTATAGAATAAGCCTTTACCAACTTAACTTTAATGTAATGTAATTCCTGTGATGTAGGAATAACAATAATATTTTATTTACAATTATCATGATACAGTATAAGTAAAAGAGTGCAAAAGACTGAGAAGGCCTATGGTTTACTGACAAAAATATTGTTTTAACTATTTGTCTATGCTTTTTTTCTATTGAAAATGTCTGTTTTAAAGTAAAACCTTAAAATAATGGTCCATTAGTTAATGTTAGTTACAACTTAAACAGTTAACAGGGGAGAGCGGGGCACAAGGAAACACTTTTTGGTTTTGTCCAAATAATGAACAAAGTTATGGGGTTAGACAAACCCTATTTTTTGTAAAAACAAAACACAAGCCTCTCCTAAATGAGCACTGAAATTATGATCGCCGGACATATGGTTTCTCTACAGTATTGCCAAAAGCGCCAGGAGTAAAAATTTTACTATTTACCCCACCTGCAGGGCAGGTTGTAACACATGCATAATTTTACACAATTTAAATTGAGTTAGGCGACGCAGTGGGTAGCACGTTCGCCTCACAGCAAGAAGGTCACTGGGTCGATTCTCGGCTCAGCTGGTGTTTCTGTGTGGAGTTTGCATGTTCTCCCTGCGTTCGCATGGGTTTCCTCCGGGTACTCCGGTTTCCCCCACAGTCCAAAGACATGCGGTACAGGTGAATTGGGTAGGCTAAATTGTCCATAGTGTATGAGTGTGTGTGTGTGTGTATGTGTGTATGTTTCCCAGAGATGGGTTGCCGCTGAAAGGGCATCCGCTGCGTAAAAACTTGCTGGATAAGTTGGCGGTTCACTCCGCTGTGGCGACCCCAGATTAATAAAGGGACTAAGCCGACAAGAAAATGAATGAATGAATGAAATTGAGTTACTTTAAATAGCTATATTTCCTCTGTAATTTGCTCATTTTTTAAATTCTACATAGTGCAGTTTATTTATTTATTAGATGAACACATTTGAATTTATTTGCATTATTATCCATTATTATACAATGCATTTATTGGCATTATTAGCAATAAATAAAAATCAATAAAAATATATTAAAAACATTTTAATATAAAAAGTTAATTAACATTACATTCAAAATTAAAAAATATATATTTTTTCTTAGTTTAATTGGTGTCCAACAGTGTGTGGCTTAATTGTAACACCCTTTTACAACTAACCCCTCTGTGTCATGTTTTCCTCAAAACTGGCTAGAAGTCACTGTGTGTTTCTTGCATGTTTCAAAATGGTTTCATCTTTAACCCAGAAGACAGTGATCACAACAACATAAGGTTTTACGTACATGCTTTCACAGATTTTTTTAAAATAAAAAAAATACCCACTATAATAAAAATACTTTTATGCTGCAAAAATGGTTTCTCCTGTACTTCTCATCTAAATTTCGCCAAACTTTTTCCCTAATTGGCAGGAAAACGTCTGCTGACACTTCGGTAAAAATCTTGGAAGCATGCCATGGTTAACCCTGAGCAAATACCTTAAAACTCTGTGTTATGTTTAACCCCGAGTTACTTTGTGCCCTGCGCTCGGAGAGTATGGGTTTAACCAGCATCCTGGCCAAATTTGCCTACTGGCCTCTGTCCATCATGGCCTTGACCAAACTGATAACCATAGTTAAGTGCGAGCTTAGACTTCATTCGTTCATTTTTTTTTCGGCTTAGTCCCTTTATTAATCTGGGGTAGCTACACCGGAATGAACTGCCAACTTATTCAGCATATGCTTTACACAGTGGATGCCCTTCCAGCTGCAACCTATCACTAGGTAACATCCATACACACTCACTCACACATACACTACGGGCAATTTAACTCACCCATTTCACCTATACCACGTCTTTAGACTTGTGGAGAAAACTGGAGCACCTGGAGGAAATCCACACAAACATGAGGAGAACATGCAAACTCTACACAGGAATGCCAACTGAGGCTCAAACCAGCGACCTTCTTGCTGTGAGGCAATTGTGCTACCCACTGCGACACCATGGTGCCTATGAGCGTAGATTGGCAGGGAAATCAAGAGCTTTGCTTTCAGCTTAGTTCCTTGATTACCACAACAGATCTGCCTGTCAATCTCCCGTTCAACTCTTCTCTCAATTGTGAATAAAACTCGAATATACTTAAAACTCCTCCACCTAGGGCAAAGACTCATTATTAATTATTATTGTTATTTTTTTATTAATAATAATATTATTATTAGTAATAAAAGCAATAATGACTGGAGAGATAATTTCAATTGAAACTACATCCAATAAGTAATAAATAAATGTTTAATAAATAAGTATTTAACAATTTAACTTTTTTTTTTTTACAATTAATAAATGAACAGAATAGGTTTATTTAAATTATTAAATAAAATTAATACAATAAAAATTAAAACTGACCCCAAACATTTGACTGGTAGTGCTGGTATTTGCTAAATGGTTGAAAATTTTCCACTTCAAAAAACAAAAAACAAAGCGACCTTTAATTGGCAATGCACAATAGCAGCTTTTATTAACACTACATGTAAAAAAAAGGTCTCATTGCATTTTAATATTTTTCTCTCTCAAAATGTGCCATTAAGAAAAAAAAACATATGGAACATTAAAAACATGTAACATTATAAAAGCTACATTTGGAATATTTCAGTTTAAAACTGCATGCATTTTCTGTTACAATGATGTATATGCTCTGAACATGTGACCAGCATCAGGTCTAAGAGGGACATCTTGATAGTACAAAACACCTTCCTTGGCAGGCATATGCCAACAGCCCATATTTTATCAATCATTCATCCATTAAAAGTAAGAAAATAAATTAGATAATAAAAGTTTCCTCTTTAACAACATTTAAGAAAATAACCTTAAACCTAAACCACGCTATCCAAGAGAGTTAAATCATAAAATCACATCTTGCTGAAATAAGCTCAAAGAAATGATGGATTCGCAAAATGCAGGATGATAATCAGTTTTCATCTCAAAATAAAAAAGAAAGTTGCACAGCAATGTAATGAGATGGTTCTGTTAAAGACACCAAAGGAATAGTTCACCCCAAAAATTATTTCTGACTGGTATCAGAGAATCTTATGATACACTATCTGTCAAAAAATTTGATTGATGACAGCCCCGCCCCTTAAGGCGGGACTTACGAATTTTCCCACTCCTTTCATATAAACTTTATAATTCCAGTAACTAGATTCTTATCTATTTAATTAAATTAAATAATATATTTTAATTCTGGTAATAAGGTTCTTATCAAACTAATTAAATCATATTTCCAGTAATTTAAATGTAATCAAACGAAAATACTAAATTTATTGTAATCTGAAAATAACGGTAATTGTATTCTAATCAAATCAATTAAATTATATATTATAATACTTATATTCTAATCAAATTAATTAAACTAAAATATAATATTGATAATTAAATTCTATCAAAATGAATTAAATTCTTTCTGTAATTAGAACCATTATTATATTTTGATTATATTATTATAAATATATTATTTAGATTAAAGTGTTAATATTATTGTATTATATTAAATTATGAATATAAATATATTACTTTATTTTATAATTAGTAAACTGTCACTATAAACATTTCCTTATGTTTAACCTTATACTTTTCGCGGTTTCTGTTATTAGATCATTTATTATACTATAATTAATCAACTATTACCATAAACATTTACTGTTCAGCCTTATACTATTCTGTGTTTCTCCTATGTGTTTGCTGTATGTGTGCGTGTGTGTGTTGAAAAGGTGACAGCCGACGCTTTGTTTCAGTAGAGCTTAATGCAAACAATAAATAAAATAATTGCCTACGTTAAATTTTGTCCCTATAATTTATTATTATTATATTCTATCGCACTGTGTTATCCAGTGGCTTTATGTGTAACATATGTACAGCATTAACATGATTGTTTATCATATATCATATAATACATAGAATATAATATAAACAAACAATTATACAAAAATCTATTTTTGTTTTGTTTATGGAAAAACTGAAATATGTTATTCTACGTTATATTGATTTCCAGTTGTATTGGATATCAATGCACTATGCAATTTAAGGTCGAGAGTAATTTTTAAACATATTTGACATCTCTCTTAGTAATGACTATCAAACATTTTAATATTATAATAAATTAATTATGTTTGATTACATTTAAATTACTGGAATAATAATTTAATTCGTTAGACACAAATCTAATTACCGGAGTTATAATATACCATTTAATTTATTTAAATAGATAAGAATCTAATTACCGGAATTCTAAAATGTATATAAAAGGGGTGGGGCTTAAAGCGGAAGTCCCAGCTTAAAGGGCAGGGATGTCATCAATCACATTTTTTGACAGATGTTATATCATAAGACTCTCTGGTATCAAAAAATGTCCCACATATCCTGTGCACTATATTTTAAATCAACTTAATAAATGATATCATTGTACGCATCAAAATTAAGCATAGTGCTCTGTTTACTTCTAATCTAGATGCTATTTTGTGCTCTCATGATTGCAAAACTCTTTGGCTTAATTGATGTAAGGTTT